TCTTTAAATCTCCTAGGATTTAGAAGTATTAGGCTACCCTTAAGTTTCTAAAATAGTTTCTTTAGAAATGGTAACTGAACTTTTAGGAGGCCCAGTAGTTTTTACTTCCTCAAGGTCCTTGAGATGGACTGGGTCATTAATGATGATGTCACGCTTGGATTTTATTTTGGGGGGATTCCCAAGTGTCAAGGAAATTCTAAAATTTAAATTCAGTCAGTCTCTCTAATTGACAGTGAGAGAAGTCAAGTTCTTATTCACTAGCAGCTGTGACTTGTTTGGGGAATTTTTGTTCTAATATGATTTTAAATTTCTTTTTAAAAAATCTTCTACATCTTTCTGCCCCACAGCAATGTTGTTATAAATTGAGATGCCTTTTATACTTGTGGCAAATCTGGTGAAAAGCAATAGCTTATGATTTGGTTTAGATTAGAAACACTACACAACTTTGAGAATACTAGCTGGTGGTTTTAGGCATATTAAAAAGAGATGAGAGCTGATGATGCCTCTTGTTTTCATATAACTGTAGACTTTGTGGAGATACACACTCTGAAATCTCTGATTAGTTGTTGTTTATTCCTGGTAAGTTCTTGTTTAAAAAAATAAATATTTTATATTGGCTTGATTACAAAGTTCATACACAATTGTTTTTCACACCGGATCTTTCCCATTTCCTTTTTCCACCCTTCCTTCTACCCATCAAATTGTGAGACCCTATGATTAGTCCCCCTGCCCATCCTCACCCCTGTGTTCCTCCCCTCCCATCCTTGAATCCTCATACACATTTTACTAGTTACTTTTCCATTTCTACAATAATGGTCTTATACAATATTTGTCCTTATGGGGAAGAGTTAGTTCACTTAGCCTAATACACTCCAGTCTCTCCCAAGTTATGTAGTAATTTTTCAAAATCCTTGCTCCTGCATACTGTGTAGTATTCTGTTGGGTGAATGTACCACAGTTTCTCAATCCATTCGATTGTGGTTGGACATTTGGACTGTTTTCATGTTCTTGCAATGGTGAATAATGCTATGAACATTGGTGTACAAATCTCTGTGTTTCATTTCTAATTTTTTCAGGATATATTCCAAGCAGTAATATAGCTGGGTCATATGGAATTTCTATGTTCAATGTTTAGAGGAAATGCCAAATTACCTTCCAGAGTGGTTGTACCATTTTACAATCCCGCTAAAAATGTATAAGAGTTCCTTTCTTTCCACATTCTGTCCAACATTTTTTACTTGCTGGCCTGTTAAACTTTACCACTACAACTGGAGTGAGATGGTATCTCACTGTGGTTTTGATTTGCATTTCTCTTATTGCCAGTGATTTTCTTCATGTGTCTATTGGCCCTCCAGATATCTTCCTCTATGAAAGGTCTTTTCATGTGTTTTGCCCATTTTATGACTGGGTTATCAATCTTTTTCTTGTGGAGGCCCTGTAGGATTCTGTAAACTTCTGTTATGAGACCTTTATCTGAGATGGTATTGCCAAATGTTGTTTTTCCCAGTTTTCTTTTCACTCTTTTGGGAAATGTTTTTTATGCACACAGGGATTTAATCTTTAGAAGATCCCATTCACCTGATAAGCTCCTGAAACTACTTGTAAAGATATTTGTAATGATATGTAACTGACTCAACACTAGTTTAGGGGTTTTTTTTAAATTTTATTTTATTATTTGTGTGTGTGTGTGTGTGCCATCAAATTAGATCTGACTGGTATAGGAGGAGATTGTCCCTCCTTCTCCAGCAGAGCATCTGGTGGATTCGAACCACGTACCTCTGGGATTGCAGTGCAGCTTCTTGGTGCTAGACCACCAGAGCTCCCTCAACACTACTTTTAAGACTGTTGTAATAAGACTCTGACAGTTGACTAAACAAAAATAAGTTTTTCTATAGTAAAACTTGATCAGAACACAGATGCATTTCCAGGTCTGGGATTCAAACATGGATATTAATTCAAAGCAGCTGGATTCTGGGCTTTGGAGGAGACAGTCCTTTCCTCCTGCTGGGAATTGTAGGGCCTGATGTAGGACGATATTTCACTGCTGCTAGTATTTTTTGGATTCCTCTTGCTGAGTAAGTGAGACAGGCAGACTAACAGTCTAGGGATAGATAGGTATTTGCAATCTTACCCCCAAACTTGAGTATTCAAGAAAAACTCCCTGAGAGGGAGTGCTTTAACACAACTGTTGACTCGGTCCACCAACATGTTTGTCTGACTTATTTTATTTTCTTCTGCTCAGGTTATTTTTCTACCTGGATTTTATGCATTATTAAACCCCTGTTCAACTTCTTCCACAGTTCTCTGCTAATTATTTTGCTGGGTTACTGAATCGTGGAACTGTTAAGAGTTGATATCTTACATAAGCAGTTCTAGACGCAAGCTCAAATAGTATTCGATGCTCCTGGGGAGAGGAGAGGAAGAGCATTACAACCCTTTGCTTCCCGCTGCTCCTTCAGCTCTCATCGGTAACAATTCCACGGCCAGCTGGGGTGAATGGATTTAATGTCAGAAAGCTTTTATCTGCTCATGTCACACACATACACATGCAGATGATGTTCCAATCTGCCTCAGAACTTAAGCCATTTTAAAAAATCATAAAGTCATTTCCCCCAAAATAAATTATGGAGAATTTCCTTATCTCATTACTTGTTTCTTTTCCTAACAAAGAAGATGAAGAAACTCCCTTCTTCATAGTTTTTGCATCAGATTTTTTTCTGTAGACATTTATTCACAAATAATTAATATTTTTTAAATTAGAGGTCTACAGTCGCTAGAGTTTCCTTCTTTTGAGTTGGTTTTCATTCTTATAACAAAGTGATAAGTTGAAGAAACAGGTAATTGAAGGAGTTAAAGGATTTTATGTTGGATGAATTAGGGTAACAGATGGACTTCAAGTAGGTGGGGAAGCTATTATTTAAGCAAAGGAAAGCTACTATATATTGGAAAGGGACAGATTTTTGAGGCTAGCAGGAGTTTGGGGCTTAACATTTTGGGCACTAAATTTGTAGATTTGCTAGTAGATGCAGTAAGAAGCGGAAGCCAAAGCATATGGTCAGGAAGGGAGTTAACAGTCCACTAGCAAAGAGGAAGAATGTGGCAGCTAAAATAAACTGAAGGTAGATGACAAATTATACCAAGAAACCCAGAGGCCTAAAGAAACTAAAAAAAGCCCAGCACTTCAAACAATAAAGAAATTACCTTGAACACAGTGAAATTGTTCCTTTCATTTGGGAAGTAACCTTGAATGAATAGGGAAGAAAATGAAGGAAGCAAATGTGCCCCATTCCCTTGTGTTTTAACCAATATGTATATCACTGAAATGTGGCAAGGAAGTGAGAATGGGGTTAAAGCATTCATGTCACCGACAGGAAACCAATAAAGCATGTTGAGATGTTAGATATTAAATGTTGCAAATTATCAGGCAGAAAATGGGGCATGCTACTTCACATTTCTTCCTTATTTCCATACCAGAATATTTTTATGTCCTTTTTAAAAATCATTTTTAAAAACTCATCTAGCCCTAATTTTCAGTAGAATTGGTTCTTTAAAAAGGGCACTAAAGCAAGCAAGAGAAGAAAAAATTGTCTTGGTTATGTTGGAACAAAGCATTTTTCCTGTTGTGCTGTTGGATCGATGTAGTAGTACGTTTGCCAAGTCACCGAGGGCCAAGCCATGTTTTCATCTGGCAGTGGTTGTGTGGCCCACAATTGTGTTAGAGACTTAGAAGATAATATTTGTCAGGGCACCTCACGATGTTCCATGGATCCAGAAAGGTATTACCAATATAGTGAATCCCTTCTGTTTGTAGATGACTTTAGAGTTTACACACATTCTTATTTGGGCTTAAAAATAATTCAGAAACTTATCAGCATGACCTCTTGCTTTTAATTTTGTTTAATAAAAATATTCCTTAGAAAAAAGAAACCAATTTTAAAAATAAACTTGTAAAGTTTTAGTAAATTCCATTTTAAATTAGTGGATCTTGGCTTTTTTTTAGTTCATGAACCTCGTTGGGAATTGCATGAGAAATTTACTGGCTCCCTTTTCCCAATAAAAATATATATATATATATATTCCTCAGAAGGGTAATTTGGATAACATAAATATGTAAATTGAGTCAAATGAAATACAGTAGAGAATGATGACACTTGTGGCAAACTGTAAAGTTCATGCCAAGTCAGGGCAATAGAGAATGGTGGGGTTTGGAACAAAGTAGAATGCATATTCCTTACCTAAAGTAAACTTGCATCTAAAACTTTAAAAACTTAACTAAAACCCAGTGCTGTCTAGTTGGCTCCAAGGTATATTGACCCACCATCTGCTTTCCTAGACTATAAACTTAATGGGAAGGTACTGCCTTTTTTAAAAAAAGTAAAAGAGGAGAAATTTATTAGCAGTGACCCAGAGGAACTCTTGTTCCAAAGATCTGGGCCGAAACTGCTCATTTTTATCCCTTGAAGTGGATTTGAACCACTGAACTCTTTTTTCTTTTTTAAAAATTTTATTATTTTGTGTGTGTGTACCATCAAATAGTATCTGACTGGTATAGGAGATTGTTCTCCTTCTCCTTCTCCAGGAGAGCATCTGGTGGATTCGAACCTCACACCTCTGGGTCTGCAGTGCAGCTTCTTGCCACTAGGCTACCAGAGCTCGCCAGAACCACTGAACTCTTAAGTTAGCAGCACAACATACTACAAACTATGCCATCAATCTTGTTGTGTATCGTTAAGTTGGAATCGACACATGGCTGACCCTCCAGTAGGTTTTCAGAGGCAATGCATCTCACTTTCTTCCATAGAGCAGCTGGTGGTTTTGAACCAAGTACCTTTGCATTGGCAGCATAGTTCCTTACCACTAAGCCAGAATGTGATAAATACAACACATTCCCAGTAGTTTGTCCAGAGCTCCCGCTTTCTTGAGTTTGTAATTCATTTGCCCACGTCTTTATTTATTATATGTAAACATGGGAGCATTTTTATTTTTATTTTTGTCTTAAGGCACGACAGCAAGCTCAAATACGTCACCAAATGGCAGAAGACAGCAAAGCGGATTACTCTGCAGTCCTCCAGAGGTTCAACCATGAGCAACATGAATATTACCATACACACATACCCATCATCTTTCAGGTAAGTGATACAGATCACTCGTTTCGTAACTTTCTTGCAAGAAGCTGTGCTGCAATCCCAAAAGCATACGGTTCAAGGCCACCAGCTGCTCTGCAGGAGAAGGATGGGAAATCTCCTCCTGGGCGATTAACTGCCTCTGAAAACCGCCAGAGGGTCAGCTATGGATCGATTCCAACTCGACAGTGCACAACAACAGTAACATTATGTTGCTCGTGAACCATGTTTGCTGGCTTTGTCCTCTATTTATATAATTCTAAATTTCCACTAACTGAAATAATTTTGTGAAGTACTTAGATCAAACACTAACCCATAAAAAGAATTGTACATAATATTAATCTCCTTACTAATCAATGGCCTTTGCAAATTTTCAGCTCTGTGAAGATAATCCTTTGATTTGCACCTGCAGCCATTCTTTGCCAGCACCATGCTTATTACAAAAATGCCATCTTGGCTTGCGGGAGTTAACGTTGTAGGATTTGAACAACTGTCAGACCAGTGTCTCTCTCTTTATTTTTTTCTTGGGGGTCTTTTGCCTGACAATTTGGGGAAGCGTGACAATTCCTAGAAGTCAGTCTGATGGTGCAGTGGTAAGCACTGGACTGTCAATGGAAAGGTCTGCATTTGAACCCCTTAGCCTCTGCTCAGGAGAAAGACATGACAGGCTGATTCCATAAAGATCACAGCCGCCTTGGGGACCCTATGGGGCAGCTCCACTCTGTCCTACTTGGTTGCTAGGAGTTGGAATCAACTCGACAGTAGTGGATTTAATTTGGTTTGTGGTTGTTGTTGTACACCGCAGAGTCAGAAACAACCCATGACTTTGTTTAGTAGTTGTTAAAATGTCCCCTCAAACTCACTGTTGTCAAGTTGAGTACTACTCATAGCAACCGTTCTTTGGGTTTCTGAGGCTGTAAATCTTAACAGGAGGAAACGTTCCATCCTTCTCCCTCAAAAAAGCTGGTGGATTTGAACCACCAGAGGCGAACAGCCTTCCGGTTGCCAGTGCAACACATTGTGTGTCGACAGCTGGCTGAGAGAGAGAAATATACTGTTACTCTAATTTAACCCTTTGGCTTAGCTCATTACCCTCCTGGAGAACTAAGATTTAACGATGTTGTAAAAACCAACACTAACTTCTTTAAATGAGAATGAACTAAATTAAATTCTGTACACAATCTAACATTACAGAAGATACAAGAGATGGAGGAAAGGAGGACAGTGAGAATTGGAGAATTCATGAAGACATATGCAGAAGTTGATCGGCAGGTGATACCAATTATAGGCAAATGCTTGGATGAAATAGTCAAGGCAGCGGAATCAATTGATCAGAAAAATGTAAGTATCATATTTGGGCTTTAATGTGCAACTGTCTTTCTGTTATTTCAAATGTGTAGGTAAATTTTTAAGGATTTGCAGAAGCTTTTAGTGGCCCCTACAGGTACGTGTTATCAGTAGCAATGCCACTCTTTTATTCAGCCTTCTGTTTTAAATTTCCTTTAGGAAAACACAGTTTAGTTGTAAGTTTTCTGAGACACTGCATATTGAAATTGAAATGTTTCTCTTTTTTTAGTTGACTGATACCACCTCCCATCCCTCGCCCACTTGAGGACTGGTTGATTTCTGGTTTATTGTGTGGGAGGGTGGAGGGACAGTGCCAGAGGGGAAGACCCTCCGAGAGCTGGGTTGACTCAGTGACTGGAGTGTTGGGGGTAGGTGTGTCAGAGATGATAAGGTTGGCTCAGGATAGAAGAGGGTTCAGAGCTGTTGGACACAGGGTCACTATGAGTCACAAGCGACTCAGCAGCATATAACAACAAACAACAACAACGGACATTAGGGGGAATTTTAAAGGCTTCGTGGTAAGTAGCGGCACTGCAGTCCCGAGGCGTGCAGTTTGAACCCACCAAAGGATGAGCAGATTTACCTGTACAATCTACCATCTCTGAAAACTTGCTAAATGGTCAGTTATGAGTCGGGTTTGACTCAATGGCGCCCAACGGCATTGACGTTAGGGTCGGATTTATTTGGAGGACCTACTGTTCAGTGCACATAGGGTGGTTAGCAGTATCCCTAGCCTCTGTGCACTAGATTCCTACAACGTCCTCAAGGTGTGATAATCAAAAGTGTCTCTGGGAATGTCCCCTGGGAAGCACCATCACTCCTGCTTGATCACCACGTGCTTTAGGCAATCAGCCACTGCCTGATCAATTACCTCTGCTTTACCAATCTGGATTCCTTTCCTGGAAACCTTTTCCCTTACTGAAAATATTGACAACATCATTATTATTAACAACAACATCAATATTAATAACAACATCAGCTTTTACATGCATTTATTCATCTGCAAAACCAGATATTTACCATAAAAGCTATGTCATAAGTATCCTGTGAAATCAGAAATCTGTAAAATGGAAATCTGGGGAAGGACTTGTTGCAGTCTCCTTCCTTGCATAAAGATCACCCTTTATGGAGCTGATGATGCCTATTTGATGGGCTTTCTCTCAGTTTTAGGCTTGAAATTGACAACTTTGTGTTGTTAAAAGTGTCGCTTGGCATAGAGAGATGAATTCTTTGTCTCTGGACATGTACTCATTAAGCCAGGTTTTCCCATGCAATGAGTCTTCTCACTCCATTTTCTTATCTCCATTAACAATTCATCTCAGTGCAACTTTGATCTCTGCTGTCAGTTGAAGTCTTACTGGGGTGGTTTGTAAGAGATCACGATGTTGTCTCAGGGAGACCTTCCTTGATCTCTCTCTGGGTGGATGATTGAATATGCTTTGTAAATGTCACACACCCCAAAATGAAGAATCAGTAAAGCTGGATAGGCACAAATAAATCAATATGGAAATATTTTTAAAGGATTAATAAGTAAGAGGAGCAATTATCAGAAAGCTGGACAGTGACTAGGGATGATAGAAGGAGAATTGATGCCTTTGCGCTGTGGTGCTGGAGAAGAGTATTGAATATACATACCATGGACTGCTGAGAGAATGAACAGGTTCATTCTGGAGAGGGTTAAACAAGGCTGCTCCTTGGAGGCAAGAATTCTGAAACTTTGTCTGACATACTTTGGACATGTTGCAAAGAGAGACCGGTCCTTGGAGAAGGATGTCATGCTTGGGAGGGTGGAGGGACAGCACAAGAGAGAAAGACCTTGGATGAGATGGATTTGACTCAGTGAAAGGAGTAATGGGGGTAGATGTGGTGGAGACAATATCGTTGGCTCAGGATAGAGCAGGATTCAGGGCTTTTGTACATAAGGTCACTATACGTCACAGGCAACTCAATGACATATAGCAATAATAAGTAAGGAGAAGTTAGGCCTTCAAAAGTCAGATCATCTCTTTGTGAATTTTGCCTTTTAACTTCACTGACTTCTGCGTTGACAAAAACCTGAAACTTGTCTGATTTTAACATCTTCTATTGGCATCTTGGGTATGTCTTTTACTTTGAACTTTCCCATTTCCTATGCCTGTGTCTAAATGATTGTTTCCCACTAGCAGCTTTATCTGGGAAGTTGTAAACTCCTAGATTTATAGCCTTTCTCCCATTATAGCCTTGTTTTCCATTACATCACTCATTATTCTATTTCACAAATAACTTCACTGTTACTAAATATAAGACTCACTTAGAAGTCATCTTAATTAAACTGTTGAAGCAGTGGCATCCCACGTAACCACTCTCTTACCTTCTCTTAGATGCTCTGGTGGTTCAATAGCTCAGGCATTTGGTGGCCATAAAAAAAAAAAAAAAGGTCAGCAGCTTGAACCCACCAGCTACTCCAAGGGAAAAAGTTAAGGCCGTCTGCTTGCATAAAGTTTTATAGCCTTGGAAATGACAAGGGGCAGCTCTCCGTCCTTCACCATCACTGTGAGACCAGTGGACTCAGTGGTAGTGGAGTTGGGGTTTTTGTTTGTGTTTTACTTTCTCCTTTACTTGGCATCCAGGAAGTCGCACTGGTTTTGTGTTTATTTTTTAGGAAGACACACTGATTTTTTTTTCTTTATTATTATTAGTGTGTGTGTGTGTGTGTGTGTGAAAATTGGATCTAATTGGTACAGAAGGAGATTGCTCTTCCTTCTCCAGCAGAGCATCTGGTGGATCCAAACCATGTACCTCTGGATTCCAGTGCAGCTTCTTGCCACTAGGCCACCAGAGCTCCCTGGAAGACACACTGTTTTGACTCCTTTTTCTCCCCCCCCCCCCGTATTGTGTCCTGTCGTATTAGACCTGACTGGCACAGGAGGAGATTGTCCCCCCCCCCCCCCGTCTCAGTCTCCTTGTTGCATCTCCCAAAACCGTTTAACTTTGAGGGTCCCAAGGTTCAGTCTTCATTCTCCACATTCACTCCTAAAGGGATCTGCTGATTCTCACAGTGAAGTGTCCCATTTCAATAGACTTCCTTTTTTTTTTTTAATATTAGCCTGGTTCTTACCCCAAAGCTACACTTGTATATTAAAGGAGCTGTGAGTGCTTTCTGATACCAATTCTAAATGTCTTCTGATACTTGCTACAACATGCCATTATTTTTGTGACTGTTACAACCTGGAGCTAAGCCTGATCTCCAATTAGAAAGGGCACAATCTCTAGACTGCCACACTGGCCACACTTCAGGCACCGGCTCCATTTTGGGGGTACCAATAATCCCCTCACTTTTTACCTGTTAGCTATAAATGTGGGCATTTACAACACTTCTTCAGACACCAGTTCAGGGACCTCAAGACCCTCTTTACTTCTGACACGCTGATTACAGATTTAGAGCTCCCCACTACTTTCCTCGTGTTCGATAACTTACTAGAATGATACACAGAAGGGAGGTATCCTTTCTTCATACCTGTTCCATCTGTGTACTGAAAAAAATCATTCAAGAAGCTGGACTTCGTGAAGAAGAAGGTGGTATTAAGGTCAGAGGAAGAAGCATCAACAGCCTGGATATGCAGATGACACAAACCTGAAAGTGAGGATGACTTGAAGGGCTTGCAGCTAAGATTGTAGTTGGATTGACATTAAGTGGTAGATCTTTCTAGCATTGCAAGTCCAGCCTCATTAGCATAAATAAAAGACTCTAGTCTTTGGAGATTAGAGATTATCTCCTAGGAACCAAGGACTAAGAGAGTTAATTATATATCCCATAGATGTCTTCTTACCGTTCTTCTATCCATTATGTGTTCTTACCTTCTCTGACATACTACTTGATATATTTCAACAAATTGATGCTGCTCTAGACATGCTCACCAGGTTGAGCCAAGAAGTCTGGAGGATGATGGCCTGGTCAACTGACTGGAAGAGATCCTTATTTATTCCTATCTCCCCCCAAAAAGGTGATCTGACAGAATGAGGGAATTATCGAACAATAGCACTAATATCACAAACAACCAAAATCCTGCTGAAGATTATCCAGAACTGACTGGAATAGTATATTAACAGAGAACTACCAGAAATACAAGCTGGGTTTAGAAAAGGTCGTGGCACTTGAGAAATTATCACTAACGTTAGATGGATCTTGGCTGAAAGCAGAGTACCAGAGGAATGTCTGTTTGTGTCTCATTGACCATACAAAGACACTTGACAGTATAGATCACAACAAACTGTGGCTAACCTTGAGGAGAATGGGAATCCCAGAACACTTGATGGTGCTCATGCGAGAGCTACCCAGAGGCTCCAAGGGAGAAGGATATGGCCATCATCACTAAAGGCCACTGCCTGGAAACCCTGCAGGGCAGCTCTGCTCTATCGCATGGAGTGAGACAGCCAACTCGGCAGCACCTACCAGCCACAGCTTTCATTTCTATCATGTGGTCACAGTGTCGATTCCCATTACAGGAACAAGGGGGTTACCTTTTTCTCTCATGTAGAAGATGTTTTAGAGACAGAGGCACTGGCGTGGCGGTCCATGAAGTTTTGGTGGACCAGGCTCCTTCCAATTCAGAGTTTTCGATTATATCACTTCCACAACCTGTGACCTGGTTCCTGGAGCCCCAGGCATCACATCCAAATTGCAGAAAGCAGAATGTTGAGAAGAATCCATGCCATCCCTTTGAAGAAAATTCTTAAAATTGTACACTATACTGTCTCCATTCCAGAAGTAACGACTTAGTCATGTGGTTACACCCTGCTGTATAAAAGGCTAGGGAGGGAGAAGCCTTTTAGCTGGGTGGCAGTGTGCCCAAGTTAGAATCAGGGCTTTTGTTACCATGAAGGATGTGTAATTGGCTGTTGCAAGACAACTGGCAGTCTCTGGCATGGCTACAAATTAAATATTAATGGAAAGAGCTACAGTTCAATTGATGCAGGAGGTTCTATGATAGAATTCTTGCACCTTCTGTGTTCAAGGCTCAAGTTTGGTTCCTTCTTGGTGGACCCACAGTGCGGCCATCACTCATCTGTTAGTGGAGGCTCTGCACTTTCCTGTGATGTTGAGAAAGACCTGGTAACCCACACCCTAAAACCAACCCATGAAAACTGGAGATCGCAGTGGCTCAGAACCACAGTGGAGATGGCACAGAACCAGGCAGCGTTTCTTTCCTTTGTGCTTGGAGTTACCAAGAATCAGAAGCCAACTTGGTCTATTACAGTGAGAACATCAACGGCAGTGAGCAACCACAATGAAAATATGAGCTCATGTTAAGACTCTTTAATCTCTCCAAATTGCCTTCCTAAGTAATTGTTTAAAGGGTCATTGAGTTAGATTGCTATTCCTAAGCCCAGGTACTGTGTGGGACTTTGTCTTTGCGTCTGTTTATGTATCACACTGATGGTGTGTCTCTCCCATGCACACCTCTTTCTCCCATCTGAGTTCTTGGGGGAACTGTCAGTACAGTTCCAGGCGAGTGTTCATTCTGCTTATTCAACAGACCTTTACTGCACACCATGGTCAGCAGGCACAATCTAGGGATGGGGATAGAATAGAAGAAAATCAGAGATTACTTTCCAGTGAGGGAGAAAACCTTTCATTCTCTGTACACGAAACCATAATATCCTTGAACCACAATGATCCAGTAAATTGGAGAGCTTAGCTCCTCTTGCTTAGACTTTGTGTAAACGAAATTGCATAAAGTGTAACCCAGTTTCTGCAGTACTGGCATTTTCAAGGAAATTATAGAGGAGAGTGCATTGATTTTTCTACTCTTAACAAAGTAGCTTTTTATTAATATTTGCTTTGCTTCCCTAATTACAGAAAAATGGTTACTGAAAGAATCTTTAAATCTCAGTTACAGAGTATTACAAAGTACATTTAGGTTATTTCTAATGATAAAAATATTGCTAGAGGGGGGAAATCTGTTATCAACCTACAAAGGTTTCTTAGCCTTATCATCTGTCTAATTCACTATATGAAAAGTACCCATTTGAATGAATTTGTGCCTGTGGGGTATGTGATTTCAGGATTCACAGCTGGTGATCGAAGCTTATAAGTCAGGGTTTGAGCCTCCTGGAGACATCGAATTTGAGGATTACACTCAGCCAATGAAGTGCACCGTGTCGGGTAACAGCCTGTCCAATTCCAGAGGAGAAGGCAAATCGGAGCTCAAATCTGGTGGAAAATCTAAAGGAAAGTTATGGCCATTCATCAAAAAAAATAAGGTACTGATGATTGGAGCCCCCGGACAATGAGTTTTATAAAGCGTGGACGTTTTGATTCTGTAAAACTTTAAACAGTAAGATTTTTAAACCTTTAGACTACAAAAAAGTTAGCGTGCAATCTTGTTCCAAAGCAGAGTTTCTCTTTGGTGGTGGTATCCTCGCCATGGCCATTTATTTGTCTTCTTTCCGATGCATTGTCACTTGTACCGTGTCCCACACACTAACACATTAATGCTCTTTCGGCTGTTTCTCATCCCTCCTTACTCTCCTAAGACTCCCGGACTGCTAGTTACCTTGTCTGAGAAAAGGGATACTGCACAGAATTTTAGTTACAATTTATCAGCACTTCTAATGGGATTGTTACCATGGGTTAATTGACTCCTTTTTAAATTCATGTTAACATGTATATCCATGAACATTTTTCATTTTCTTTTTATAACATGATACTTAGGTGCATGACAACATTAACCTGGGTACATAAAAAAAGATCAAGGCAAACCCCTGCTTTAACCTTAGAATATATTAATATTCAATTTAACAAGACTGTCTTGCTGTTTTCACCTTAGCACTTAAAATCTTTCCTGTCCTCCCATCAAGCTATGTTGGTGGAGGTAGTTTAGAAATATTTATTTACCCTTCCAGATTAAACTGGTTTGCAGTAACTAATTAGAACTGTAGCTTGCATGTGGAAGTCTGCATGAGCTTGTGAAATGTTTCTTGCTATTCTTCTCTTGCATTATTTACTAAAATTCCCACTTTCATCCTATTCTTCATTTAACATATTCTACGTGTTTTGTTTTGGACCATGGCCTAAATAATTTGATTGTGTTTTACTTGCTTTGGATTTTGAATATTATTTGATGCTTATTTTTGTTTTGTGTCTTATCTTCTTGTTTCTGGTTTTCACTCTGTCACTGCTTCATGTCTTACATGTATACAGCTTATGTCCCTTTTAACATCCCCACATCAACCTCCCCCTCCTCCCCCTGCCTTTGCCTCACCCCCTGCTGTTCCCAACGGCCCCCAGTCTCCCAAGCAGCAAAAGGAAACCCTCTCCCATCGCTTCAACGAGTTCATGACCTCCAAACCCAAAATCCACTGCTTCAGAAGCCTAAAGCGTGGGGTAAGTTCTGCTTTGGAATCCTGTCTCTCTTGTGCGCTTTGTTGCATGTTTTGTTCTGCATAACTTATTTTGTTTGTGAATGAATCCATTGTGTTTCCCATAACATGAGAAAAGAGCGTCTGATTCATTATAGCTAAAGAGAGAAACAGAACAAGGAGGAAGGGAAGGAGCAAGGAGGAGTGATGGAAGGGAAGGAAGAAGGCAAGCCAGCCCAGAGTTCTTTCTCTCTGGTCCTTTTTGGGCAGACTTTTCCCTCTGCCCCTTTATTAGTATCTCACTTACTAGTATTTTTCCTTATTAAAAAAAGAAAGAGGACATTTAGATTCCACTTCTAAAAATAGTAGCACATGAAGCTTGGGAAACCTCTGTATAATCAGAAAATATTTGCTTAATAATTACTAAAACATTGTGAGTAGAATAGAGATGTCTTTTTGAGTGAAACCTCAGGGCTGTAAGGGGAAATGTCTCAGTGCTTTCACCAATTGTTCTGGTGAAATTATCAAAGACGTTAATAAAACATCTAGGCATGTTGGCAGGGGATAACAGGTCACGTCCCCGTTGCTCGAGAAGGCCAGGATGCTGGGATAAAGTAGAAAGTCAGCAAAAAAAAGAAAGGCCCTCAGCAAGGTGACTTGGCACAAGACAGTGAAACAGTGGCTCAAACACAGCAACGTGTGCAAAGATGGCTCAGGACCAGGCAGGGCTTCGTTTTAGGGGCTGGAAAAGGACAAATGCAATATTTCTTTTTAAGGGGTGAAATAGTAATAGCAACTGACAGTTACCCAGTGCTAACTATGTGCCATACTTTGTTCTGTATGCTTAATTTCCTTTTCTTTGACCGCCCAGTGAAGCCTTAGCACTAATAGGTCCTTAATTTTTTACTCATAAGGAAAAGAAAGGCAATTTACTGATAAGGAAATTGAGGCACAGAAAGATGTACCTTATATCAAGCTAGGAGAATACAAAGCCAGAGTTTAAATCCAGAGTCTTCGTATAGTCAGGGGTCCTGTAACCTCCACAAGAAGAGCCTGTAACATAGTTGACCTGTAAGTAGATATTTGTGAGACTTGTATTTGCCATTCTAACTAAGATTGGTACGCTGAGTCACAGGGCTTGATGGAATGGACCCCGTGACTCAACGTAGATGCCGTTTGGGTTTATGGGGGCAGAGAGGATTGGAATAAAGTCATTTGTCGTGTCCAGAATTAATCTAAGTGATTAGTCTAGTCTAAGCTTTCCCCAAATAATTTTTTTTCTTCTCATAATGAATGATGAATGTAGTTATTCAAAATGAATGAGCATTTAATGCATAACACATGCAGCAATATTTTTGTTTTTATCTTTTCCTCTGAACGGTGCAAGGCAGTTATAATGGGATCTTTCCTTGTATGAGCACGGTTTTTACTTTTCACTTCTAGATCTCCAGTCACCTCATGGGGTATTGATCAGTAGGTTGCTTCTCTCCGTATGCTGCCTTATAACTGAAGCCTCTAACTAAAGCTAGAACTAGGTGCTGGCCCTTAGGTTGGTAAGGAGCATGGACAGGTCAAGTGCAATATTAGGCCCAAGTTTGTTTTTAAACAAACCTAAAATTCCCAAGTTTTGCTTTCTCAGGTGTCTGCTGACAAGTTGTCATAGGAGGCGATTCTAAGGCAAGCTTGATGGGAGTGTCTTTAGACTTGGCGTCAGCAGCTGGGTATCTAACAGCAGTCTTACAGCTGATCTGACAGTGATATCTTTTTCAAGTCTACAAAAGAAAGTGCTTTGTATTAAAAAAAGAGAGTTAATATACAACTGATAGAATTATCTTTTTAAATAAAAGATAATGTTTCTTTGTATGCAGGGTCCCCATGAGAAGAAAATCTCAAGGTTCTGTAAAAAGAATACAGTTGATTGATGGGTATTGATTGATGGAATTATTTTAGGTGTCCTGACATACCTAGAGAAGAATTAAAAATTTAATTTTTTAAATATTTTAAGAGAGCCATTGTTAGAAATCAGAGGAGGACTTCAGATGTGGGTGATGGATGGCGCTGAGGGCTTTTATTAGCTCTTTGAAGGAATCTGGCTTGTGATGCTGGCTTTCATAACTCCCATCCCTCTCTCCTCCAGCTGTTCATCAAAGAATTTCTAACATCTAATCAGGGTGGGTTTGCTAGACTATAAACTTTTATATTAACTTTAAATCAGTTAACCCACCTTTGCCACTTCTAGAACCTTTAGCTACCTACCATTCATGTGTTATTTTTACAGTGACTGTCTCTGCATTTGTCTTTTGGAATCCTATCTTGAAGTAGATTGAGGACTAATGACTGTTTGCCATTTGTCCATGTATCTCTTTCATTTTTCCTCTCAACATTGCAAACTGTTGGTTGCAAATGATTTTACAAATCTGTGTTTCATGGTGTTCTCAAAATGTTCAAAGAACAAAGAATGTTAGTGCTTATAAGTGTAAGGAAAAGATGGCTAGGAAAAAATACAGCCCTTAAGAAAGAACAAAATTGGTGAAATAGAAAGCTATTTTGATGATCTAAGGAAAACCTTTTTCATTATAATTAGCAAAATGAATTTCATTTCTTAGTCCTCAAGTCCATGTTCAGCAAATATCTGCTTTTAAAAAGTATCCTACCCATGGAGTGTGTTTTTTCCTGAGGGTAAACACATATATGCAAACATGAAGCATTGGTAGATAAAATATATGCTCCCATCATTTCAGTCAGCATGCGCTTGATTAGGGTCAAGTTGGAAGTTCCTTTCTTTAAAAAAATAGCAGTAGGGGAGAAAAAGAGGAAATACATCATAAAAGTAAAAATAGGAAGTTCACAAAATGAATCTAAAGTTTGGGGAAATAAATTTGATTTGAAAGCAATTTCAACATGAGAGGTATGTGGTTTTTAGCATCCATGAGTAAAATTGTAAAGTCATTACCACCATTGGGTTAATCTTACTTTTTAATTTAAGACTCTTGTGCCAATGAACATTTAATTATGAAAAACATCCTAGGAAAGTTGCAAGTCTTTTAGTTTATATAAGTCTTTTAATTACCATGTTTTACAGCTCCAGATTTACAGATCCAGGCTTCAATCATGTTTGTCATCAGATGTATAAATCCGGTGTAGATATCTCTTAGCATAACTGATTTGCTTCTTAATGCTTCAACAGGTTAAAATATTTTTAAATTGGAAGCCATTGGTGCTGCTAACAGAACTTTATTTCTTCAAATACCATTAATGATTGATATGCCATCTGAGCACTGGCAATTATTTAATTTCTATTTTAGTCAAACAAAAAGAAAACTAGATAGTATGTTTTTTGTTTACAATCTACAAGCTATAATTTTACTGTCTTAGGTTAACATTTCTCTTTCTGAGGAGAGCAAGAGACTTCTAAATCTAAAATTTAAATACATTTCCCCAATAGTTGAGAGTGAATTATGTTAAAAAAAAAAAAAAAGATACCTCCAAGGTTGACCAAGAGGTTTTGAAAGTTCTTACCAGTTGTTTGAGATGTTACAATTTTATGGTTAATTTTAATATTCTTTATTTTATCTTGTTTTCTTGCTGGTGATTGGCAGACTCAGTCTTTCTGTTTTCACAAAGAACTCATGAAGAGGACAATAGGGAAACCCACGTATGCCTTTGAGGCTAGGGACTATGTTGTAAGTTCACCTGTGATGGCCAGGTCATCCAGTCACGGCACAGCCACTAACCCCATTGACCACCAAGACTGGGGACCTCAGCACACATTGTTAAGTGCTTCTTACACAGGAAACAGCATTCTTAACTGAAAGGCCTCAGCACAGGAAAAACATCTCACATATAAATTTAACCATAGATTACTTCATCTTAGAAACTTGAGCAATAAAAAAGAAACAAACGTTCTAATAAAGTCAATGAACTTAGCTTGGGGGAGTTGTTCTCCCCCCCCCCTTTTTATTCTAGTTCTGTTAAAATCTTTAAAGGAGTTGTGGCTGCTGTCTGAGAAGCTCCTATCACTGAAACTGTGTGTGATTTTACGGCAGCATGTCACCCATAAAACACAGCTGCAAAGGGTGGCCCCGAGAGGTCATCTCCTGCAGACACTGCAGTTGTGGGGTGCTGCACACCCAGGGCACATCCGTGTTCGGAACACACGGATCCATCAAGGGTTTGTGTGCATAGACCTTGGAGAACAAAGAGGCCAACGAAGCAGGAGCAAGTTCATAGAACGTAAAAATGATTTCCCGTGGATCTTAAGTATCTCTGCTTATCTATTTGCTCTCATTGTCCCCTTTCTTTGTACTTGAGGTTAGTGCCTGTGACTCTCCAATAACACATGGACTTGCTGGCTCTGTGTTACCCTCATGTGTTATTGACGCTTGTGGCTCCCCAGCCTCTTTAATCGGCTCCCGAAACTGACAGCTTTCTCGTCCTTCAGGTGGCTAGCAATGCACTTAAGGAAGTGTTTAAAATTATTCTCTGAGCAGATGATCAGGTGTGTTTTTTTTTAAATTAATTGGGTGACTGACCACTGAAAACCAGTTTATAACCGGTTGTTTTTTTTAAAAAAAAAGAGGACCATGATGACACTTCCTGTCCGTGACCACTGTCCACTTCAGAAAACTGAATTTGTCTCACAATTCAGAACCTCCCATTGCTATGGGAATTTGCTTTTCAACCCTCTAGTGACTTGTTTTGATTATGAAGTGGTGCTGTTCCTCCGCTGTCGTTTTTATGATAGAATCCTGGGTGTGGAATGTGACTACAAGTAACTGAGGCAGCTGAATAGTGAGCAAACAGTGCACCTCGTTCATATGTTGATTTTTTAAAATGAGTCAAATCTAAATGATCATGGGGGGAAACGTTTGTGTAGGCAGGGCTCTTGGTAGGAAGATACTTGTCAAGTTCTCTGCTGTGTGCCATAAGTCTTGTCTGTATGTACAAAGAACTCAAATTGTGATGAACAGATCTATGCTAAAGTTCACAGGGAGGCGCGCCAGTACTTAGTGCCTCCTGCCCACG